TTACAAACTGGTCAGAGGGGACCAGCAGGCATTGAGGGAGTCCCTGTTCCCCCGAGCACTACCAGGAGTGACTAGAAATAACAATCACAAGCTGGCAGAGGGTAAATTCAGATTAGACATCAGGAGGCGCTATTTCACTGTCAGGGCGGCTAGGACCTGGAACCAACTTCCAAGCGAAGTGGTGCTGGATCCTACCCTGGGGGTCTTCAAGACAAGACTAGATTAACACCTTGGTGGGGTTGGTTGACCCCAGTACCCTTTCCTGCCATGGCAGAGGGTCGGACTTGATGATCTGCTCAGGTCCCTTCTGACCCTACCAACTATGAAACCATGAAACCCTAAATTTCTGTGATTCCATATTGTTGTACAGCTATTTTCCAGTGGGGAGAAAACCCAGGAACATCAAACTATAACAAAATGAGCCCTGTGGATTTACAAAACACCTGAGAAAGGCTTGGGAGATTTCAAGTGTCACAGAAAGAAAAGATTTTAGTGAATGTCATAGTTCTCACCTGTGTGTCCATGTTTTTCGATACTTAGCCAAGTTGAACCTGGCAAATTTCCCTAATACTGTAAAAAACAGCACAATAATTTAATATGTACTTCTGAACATGTACCCTAAAATGACATTGTGTGTCTATCTTTATTGCTCCTCAGTCGTTTCCATATAAAAAGTGATCACCAGTAAAGGTATCACCAGTAATAAAGGTTTTGAAGTGCAAATGAGGACATCGGCTACAGTTACATAACTGAACCATTGGATTACCTTTGGTGATTCAGGCAACGCACCAGGAAGGAATGGGATGGTAGTGTTTTTAACTCTCCTTTGTACCTATCCTAATTTTGACCCTAGGTCTCAGCATAATTTCCAGCAGCCCCCAGGGTTGTTTTACCTTATTATGACTCTGAATAGCTCCTATGGGTGGCTCCTTTGACTCCGATGTCTTGAGCAGTGATTCTCAACCAGGGAGCCACAGCATCCTGGGGTGCCTTGCTATCCTTTCAAGAGTGCAGTAGGGTGCCATACAGTGTTTGCACTATTATGTGTGCAAACATGATTCACAAGATAAACCTAGAGATTTCAAATAGGAATCCATAGTGTCAGAAACATTCTGACTTGTTGTGGTCATTCTGAGTCCTTTGCAACAGAAGAATTGCTCTATAATTTTTTCTGTAGTCAAAAAATGGGTGAAAACTAAGGGGTAGAATTTTCTGAGGGGTGCCTCAAGTCTCATGAGGAGTACCTTGAGTCTAAAAAGGTTGAGAACCATACTCTTAGAGTGTTCGGCACTCCAAATGCAGCCCTTCCATTACCAAACACTCACTACCATGCTGTGTCTGCTACAGATATGCCCATCCTTTGCAGCTACCATGGGATGACATAAAGATTTTATCATCACCTTCTGTCACCCAGAGAACTTTGCAATGGTCGAGTTCTTAGGGGAGGGAATCCAGATATTTTCAAGAGTCTTTGGGTTAAATCCTAGTTTATGTTAAGTGCTGACATAGCGAGCTACCCAGTTGGATGACTGCCATTTTTGGCACTTACACACAGCTTGAGATGTTGTTCTGAGGTCAGTGAGGACATACAGGTGTCTGCACACCCACTGAGCATGTTCAGTAGGACTTTGCTGTGGCTGGAGAGGTACCCAGTGCTGTATGTTCACCCAGTTATGTACATACAAATGGGACAAGTCTTGAAACAGTAGCTGCACAAAATCCCCAAGACTAGCGGGGTTTAGATGGAGAAGGAACCTCCAGCTAAAAGAAAACTTCCAGGTTTTAGCTCAATAACTTAATGGATGGGGACCTTACCTAGGAAGTTGGTGTCCTGTACTCTAGGCCCCTCTTAATCCAGAGGCAGCTTGGATTTATTTCCCAGCACAGTGTTGTGCTTACTACACCATAGGTTCAGCCCCTTCTCAAAGCTGCCCTAGTGTCCCTTGCATTGAATAGTCACTGGAGGAAGTTCCTGTCCCATTGGGAGCAAGGACCTGATGAGAACCTAGGGTCCCCTCCCATATTAAGCATTAAGCCACATGCCACACATGCTCTGGCTTTTTTCCTTCCTTCTGGCTTCACATATTTCCCTCTGTTGGCTTCAAAAGGAGGGTTGGAGAGGCCTGGATAATACTTAACCTGCAGCCTGCTGGTTGGAGCACTGCACTGGGAAGTTGGAGAGATGTATCTTTTTAAATCCTCTCTGTGTAAGGACAGTCTAGAACCTGGGTCTCTCACTTTGTGTGTGTGTGTGACTGACCTACCACAAGGCTATTGGGCCAACATACGTGAGGTCCCTTCTCCTTGTCCTTCCCTCAGGGAACTCAGGGCAATTTGATTTTGCCAGAGGGTGAAATATAATCTGAAACTGTGCAAAAGTGCCATTCAGACATGTTCAGTGAAATAAGCTGCTGCTGTTTGCATCTCAGAGACACTGCTTAGGAACAGAATGACCAAAGAAAGGCCACATTCTTTCTGATATAGTCTTTGTCCCTCCTTAGTAACTCTGCTGTCCTACAGGAAAAAAAATACTTATTTACTGAGTCTGCTTCATTCTCTTGCAGGAGGCTCTAGTATTCTTTACTTATATGCTCATCATTCCATACATTCGACTCTCTCCTCAAATGAGCAGGTCTGGCTTCAGCAGCCAGGGAGTGAGATTTCAGACATCTGCCTCAGGAGAGTCCCTTCACAAAAGCTGACATCTACCTCTCTGCAGAGGATTCGAAGGCATCCTCAGTATCAATTTTTATTAACTGCATGAATTGCTAGTGTTCAGAGGCTGTAGGCAAAACTGGGCCCCTACTGTACAAAGAACTAGTGAGAAACAACCCCCGTTCCACTAAGCTTATAACCTAAACAAATCAGTCCAAGGAGGACATCAAGGCAAAGAGGAAGGAAATGACTTATCCATGGATACAAAAAAGGTCAGCTTCAGAACTGGAAATAGAACTCAGTTCCTCAAGGCCCAGTCAATTGCCCTATCTTTTCAATTACCCTACCTTCCACTTTGAGGTCTCAGGGCTGACTTCAGTAATGTATGGGTCTCATTCTGCCTCTCCACTTAGAAGTGAGAAGCACCTAGACAGAGAAGGAACATCTGCTTCCTACACCTATCAGTGCCCTAAGTCACTCCTGCCAGAATTAACTGCTGAGCCAAGAAGCACTTTATCTTTTACGCAAATGCAGGTGTAAGGTTTTTTCCAGCTTTGCTCAGGGCACTCATTAAAAGGCAAGGAAGTGAGCATGCATGAAATCACCCCTTCCGTACAGGCAGACAGATGGAGAGAAATTCCAGTCTGTTTCCACTCTTTTGTCTTCAGGGCATTTTTGGAATTTCCTTCAGGAAGTGAAAGGTTGTGACCTAAAGCCTTCCTCAGTTAGCAGGCTCCAGTTTCCCACAGCAAACCTTTCCCAGAAGTGACACACAGTGTAACAAGGTAAGCTTTATCTACATGCCCCAACTGCATCCTGTATGAGCTCAATGAAACTATAGTATTACCTAGAGAGAATGGGCGTGACAAGGGAAATGGAAGAGTCAAGCCTTGGAAGAAATACAGCAGATACTAAAATAAAGCTAGGGAGGTTGATAGAGCTACATTGATTTATAACATTCGAGGCTCTGCTTTTATTATATAAATATAAACCTTCCTGAAGCTAACAACAACATGCACGCAACTACTTTTTAAAAAAGTTTTCTTTGTATTTTAACATAAAAAATAATAAAGATGTGTTTGTTTAAAATACTTTCAATTTCTAATTCATAAGATCCTGAATTACATGGCATTTTACTTATTCTACTCTGGAAAGTAATAGACTTCTCAAGTGTCCAGTATATCTCCTGTTTCTTCTTTTCCATCATGTCTCAGGAAAGCTTCTTGCCCTGCTGCATAGACTGAAGGAGCAAATCTATTTAGTCAATTTCTTTTATTAAAAAGTTCCCTCTCAAATCATGGACTTCCACCCATTTTTCACTTTCCATTGGCCTACAAGTAAAGGTGTCATTATGGATCTGTGTCCTTAATTGATTAGCTGGATCATGCAAACTCAGCATAATCCAATCCCTCCTGAAATTAAGGAGTCCTTCCCCTAACTTCTGTGAGCAGTGGTAATGCCCCAGGTCTTAACAACAGTACATACAAATATTATGATAGCAGCATCTTTAAAAAAAAAGAAAAGAAAAATCAGTTTATTAATGTTTATAAGTCAATAAAGCCATGTGCAAATTGAACAATAAAAGTCAGAAACATTTTAAATACTATTTTTAAAACAAGAAAAAAATCAGTTTAATTGCACTGAGAATCATACTACAAAGGCAGCAATCTTTTTTACAAAACAACTCCTCTAGGAATCACCAATAGCTGTACATTAATCAATTGTTCTCAGCTATCCCAGATACGCTAATTTTGTTATCATAATGCTCTATGTGCATGAAGACTCCTGCATCTTATTAACTTACTTACATTGTACACATTCAACCCCATTAGCACAGGTTAGAAAATGCAGAATAGAAATGATGTTGTAAAACAAATACATTCAATGTAATGCAAGGACTGACTGATGTGGATTGAAAAATTGCAAACATCTTTGCTCAAATACTGAACATTCTGAAACCTAAAAACACCAGCATAAGTGCCAAAATGTGTACTGCATTTTGTAGGGAAATGTGTTTGTAAGATCAAACTATTGTAATTGCACTTGGACTAACATTTTTTTTCCAATTTTTCTGATTCCCATGATCTTCTGTTCATATTTTATCATCAGTCTTTATCTTTGGAAACACTGTGGACCAGCCCTGAAATTCTTGGTTGATTACAATTTCCACTGACATCAACAGTATGCAATACTATTACACCTTTTTTTTGCAAGTGTGAGAATCATCTAAAAGAGCAAAGAACTTTAGTTTTCTCTTGCAATTGTGGTAATAACCTATTTCATGAGAAGCAAGTCAAAAGAGATGTAGGACCAAATGCTGCTCTGAGCTAATTCTCCAGAAAAGTCTGTTGATTTTTTCAAGAGTTGCAGGGCTGGAGGCAAATGCAGAGTCTGGTTCATGTACTTAACCAGTAATAAGAACCTTCAGAAAAATTTGATATGATCTGGGTAAAAAAAATAAAACAAAATAAACCCTCTTGGATTCTACCAAAGAAAGCTTGTGACATTTAAAAACTTAGGTGGAGGGAAGCCAAACTGTGGTTGACCATGATCTAGATTACATGGGCGGGATCTCTTTCTTTACCGTATGCTAAAGAAACTCTTCTGACCAAAGATGCCAGAGCTACCACTAAACTTGGTACAGAAATAGCTTTGTGTAAGGGGCTCACTGCAATTGAAAGGAAAAATAACTTCACATTCTTTTCAAAGAACAACAAAAAAGTCAATTCTCCCCTTCCCCTCTCCCCTTTTCCACTTGCACACACAACAGGCATCATTCCACCAAGGCATCAGTCTTTCTGAGTTACTAAGGAGACTTCAGGCTCTGAATGCTCCCAACAATTCTGAACTGCCTCAGTGCAAAGACAAAACATGCTCCAGGGGGAAATGTTTTCAAGCCAGAACAGTCTGTCCCACTTCTTGAACTCCAGCCACACAAGTGCACCATAGGCCTCTTCAGAACTAATGCTACCTTGCTCATGTACACCACTTCCCTGCCTAGCTACTGTGAGCAAGAGGCTTCTTGCCTGTCAGATTTCAAAGCAGAGGCTTTGAAACCAGCTCCCGTGGGTATGTCTAGGAAGATGAGTTGATGTTGCCTGAAGACACGATTGTCTCCGGGCAGTCACCCTCCTCCTTCTGTGGGTGGGAAGAGTTGTCAGATTTACTTCTGCTGAACTCCATCCCTCCTATAATCGGCCTTTTGACTTTGGTCCCAGAGTCTGCAGAGGGGCATTTGCAGCAAAGCATGATCTTTAAGAAGGCCCTTCGCATCTCTTTGTTCGTGAGGGTATAGATGATTGGGTTGGTGCCGGAATTGAGCACAGCCAGCACTAGGAAATACTCCGCTTTGAAAAGGATTGGACAGGCCTTCACTTTACACCCCACATCCAGCAAAAGCAGGATGAACAGGGGTGCCCAGCAAACGATGAAGGCACTGAGGACAATGATCACTGTCTTGAGCAAGGCTAGGGACTTTTCTGAGCTCTTGCTGGCTTTGGCAATGTTTTTCCGAAATGTTAGACTGCGGCTCCTAGTCCTGACCATGGAATAGATCCTGCAATAGAGGGCCACAATGGACAACAACAGGACGTTTAAAACGGTGGTGCAAAAAAGAATATAATGCTTATGATAGAGGGGCAGCACGGTAGAGCACTTGTGCATGCAATCAATGCAGTTCCAGCCCATGATAGGGAGACCCCCTAGTATCACGGAGATAACCCAGCAGGCACTGATTAGCAGGAAGGAGCGGAAACTGTTGCTGTCATTGTGGAGTTTCATCTTCAGCATGGTGATATACCTCTCAATGGCAATAGCCAGGAGGCTGAACACAGAAGCTGACAGGGCAACAAACATGCTGCCTTCCCTTAGAAACCACTGGGGAGGGGACAGAGTGTAGGTTTTAGGTCCAGATAATAAGAGGTTGGCAATATACGCCACTCCGGCCAGCAAGTCTGAAAGAGCTAAGTTTCCAATAAAATAGTACATGGGTCTGTGAAACTTCTTGGTTTTCCAGATAGTCAGCAGGACAAAAATGTTCTCTAAAATGATAAAGCAGCAAATGATGATAAAAACCACTGAGGTCACTTTTATTCCACTGTCCACTTTGTCGTTTAGCTTTCCTGTGTAGTTGTAATGCTTGTGAATTATGTAGTCGTTAGGACTGACAGAGAAGTTGCTAGTGGCTTTCATGTGGGAGATGCTGTTGGAGCCCATGGTCCCAGGCTGAGCAGCACTTCCCCAGCCAGCCGCCAGAGGGTGAAGTCCAAGGGAAACTTCAGCAGCCGCCCCAGTGCTGTGTCCCCACCGTGGAGGGGCCAGTCTCTGGCACTCTTCAGACAGCTTCAGAAACCACAACCCTACAAAGTGGGGGCACAGGGCAGAGTCAGAAGAAGGGTTAGGAACAAGAGGGCAAGCTAAAATCCACACCAAGCAGACTATTCATTTCACTGCACCCCACGCTCAGAAACTGCATCCATCACTTTTACTCCCCCGTTATAAATTGGATGAAGAAATGGCATAGGAAAAGCAGGAGGGGATTAAAAACCAAACCAACCCCCCCCCCCCTTTTTAATGCAGAGGTGCCCAAATAAGGAGGAGGCAACGGGGGCTGCACAGCCTTGCTGGAGTCTGCCCAGTTTGGGGGCTGCCAGAGCAGCCTGGTGGGGAACACAAGTCCCATCCTACTCCTCTGCCTCAGAGCCAGCCCCACAATTCAACCGGCTCAGGTTTGGGGAGAAAAGACGGCTTGATTCGTTGTAAATGCAATTAGGAGGGCACACGAGCCCGCCGCGCGGGCCGAAGGAGCTCTCACGATTTTTCCCTCTATTTTTAGGTCGAAGTGTGCTCGTGAGGGTGACGGGTGTGCACCGAGGTGTGAAAGCCAGAGATCAGTTCAGTGTAAACAGGAAAGCTGCCCTCCCCTCGCCGCTTGTGAGCCAGGGCAGCCTCGGCAGTTGTGCAGAAAGCAGGGAAAGGCAGAGAAACAAGCACAACAGTGGGCTGGGGAAAGAGGCTGCGTGCGGGCGTGAGAGAGACACAGAGAGTGTGTGTGTGTGAGAGAGAGTGTGTCTGTGCGTGTACACGAGTGTGTGTGCATGAGAGTGACTGTGAGAAACTGAGTTCGAAGTGTGTGATGTTGCGCGAGAGCGTGTGAGTGTGAGGGCGACCCGGCGAGGACGTGCGAGGGACCGCGCGTGAGTGTGCCCGCGCCTCCCCCGCGTGACTGCCCGCGCCTGCGAGCGAACAAGAGTGACTTCGTGCGTGTGCGGGTTTGCCTCGTGTGCGCGTCCGAGCCCGCGCGCGCTGCGCGCGGGGCTGCGTGCGAGTGTGCGCGCGGGGCTGCGCGCGGCC